CCAGACCAGACCAGAACAGAACAGAACAGAACAGACCAGACCAGACCAGACCAGAACAGAACAGAACAGAACAGACCAGACCAGACCAGACCAGACCAGAACAGAACAGAACAGAACAGAACAGAACCTCATCCTGTCATGTGTTCTGTGCAGGTCGGGACCCACAGTAAAGCCTGGTTCATCGCCGGTGTGTTTGTGTTCCTGACCATCCCGGTCTCCCTGTGGGGGATCCTGCAGCACCTGGTCCACTACACCCAGCCAGAGCTGCAGAAGCCCATCATCAGGTCACCGCTGCAACACAACACGACACGACAACAGAACACAACACAACACGACAACAGAACACAGCACGACACGACACGACAACAGAACACAACAGAACACGACAACAGAACACAACAGAACACGACACGACAACAGAACACAACACGACACGACAACAGAACACAGCACGACATGACACGACAGCAACACGACACACACACAAAAACAACACACACACAACACAACACAAAGACAACACAACACACACAACACAACAGAACCCAACCCGACTTGACCGTGTCCGTCTCCTCCAGGATCCTGTGGATGGTGCCCATCTACAGTCTGGACAGTGTGAGTCATTATTACACACCAACACTGAGCTGCCACTATGTTGCCACGGCAACAGGACTTGATTGGAGGCCATGGGGTTCCCAGGGTTTTGTGAGCTGAATGTGTTCTGTGTGGTTCTGGTTCTGGTTGTGCTCAGTGGCTGGCTCTGCGGTACCCCAGCCTGGCCATCTACGTGGACACGTGCAGAGAGTGCTACGAGGCCTACGTCATCTACAACTTCCTGGTGTTCCTGCTCAACTTCCTCAGCAACCAGTACCCCAGTCTGGTGCTGATGCTGGAGGTGCAACAGCAGCAGCCCCACCTGCCCCCACTGTGCTGCTGCCCCCCCTGGCCCATGGGCGAGTAAGAGCTAATGATAAATAACAGTAACCAGTGATAACCAATGAGGACCAGTGATAACTAACAATAGCCAGTGATAACCAGTGTTAACTAATGATAACCAGTGGTAACTAATAATGAACAGTGGTAACTAATAGTAAATAGTGATAACCAGTGTTAACTCATGATAACCAGTGGTAACTAATAATGAACAGTGGTAACTAATGATGAACAGTCATAACTAATAGTAAATAGTGATAACCAGTGATAACCAGTGGTAACTAGTGATGAACAGTCATAACTAATAATAACTAGTGATAACTCATGATAACCAGTGATAACCAGTGGTAACTAGTGATGAACAGTCATAACTAGTGATAGCCAGTGGTAACTCATGATAACCAGTGATAACCAGAACCCGTCTCTGTGCCTCTGTCAGGGTTCTGCTGTTCAGGTGCAAGCTGGGAGTCCTGCAGTACACTGTGGTCAGGCCCGTAACCACGGTGATTGCACTGTAAGTTCACCACTGTAACCATGGTAACAGCACTGAGTTTACCGCTGTAACCACGGTAACATCCCGTGATGTTCGGTGTGTGTGTCTGCAGCATCTGCCAGCTGTGCGGGGTTTACGATGAAGCTAACTTCAGCTTCAGGAACGCCTGGTCCTACCTGGTTATCATCAACAACATCTCACAGCTGGTACGCACACAACAGGAAGTGACCTCAGCGCTCCCGGACCACACATTTAGGAGCTCAAACACTCAGTTCCTGATCAGATTCTGTCACTAACCAACAACGGTTTGTTCTCACTTCCTGTCTGTCCACAGTTTGCCATGTACTGTCTGGTTCTGCTGTACCGGGCTCTGAGGGAGGAGCTGACTCCCATCAGGCCTGTGGGAAAGTTCCTCTGCGTCAAACTGGTTGTGTTCGTCTCATTCTGGTAAGACTGGAACCAGAACATCTGGTTCTGCAGCACCTTTTTCTACTGACCAGAGTTCTACCTTCAGACTGTGAATGTTCCAGAGGTCCAGGTCCTTCAAGTCCACAGAGGAGGGTCCAGATTGATCACTTTAATGGACTTTTTCCATCATTTCTGAGCCTCAGAACTTCATCAGTACAGCAGATAGACACATGACATTTAGGAGGAAGAACACATCTGGGTTCTGCTAGAACCTGACACCAGATCAGTTCTACATCCATCCAGGTGTCAGTCTAAAGACCAAATGTTGGATTCCAAGATCCCCATCATCAGTGTTGTTCACAGTCTGAGGATGAAACAGAACCAGAACTGAACACGATCAGAGGAGAATCCAAAGACCCTCAATAAGCTCTGAACGCTGAGGTTTGTCTAAGCGGCTCGTTTTGTCCCCAGGCAGGCGGTGTTCATCGCGTTCCTGGTGAAGGTGGGCGTGATCTCGGACAGACACACCTGGGACTGGGACAGCGTGGAGGCCGTGGCCACCGGCCTGCAGGTAACCGGTGATAACCAATGAGTGGGTCGGTTTAGTCCTCTAACTGGGTCAACAGTTGGATAAATGAGCATCATGCTGCAGTGAAGGAGACTTCAGACTCAGATTAAATGTTTACTGAGGAAACTAAAGACGTGATCAGACTGACTTCCTCACAGACGTCTGTACAGTCAGACTTCATCAACCAGAGTCACCCCCTGCTGGCTGGTAGACAGACTGCAGGCTGAAGGCCTCACTTCATCCTTATATTTTATAGAGACAATCATTTGTACAGATTTGGGTAAATATTCACTTTTTGGACACAAAAAAATCTTTTCATACTTATTTAAGGAACCAGGATGTCAAATTAAATTTTACCTGAATTTGTGGTGGCTGTTCGGTGTTTTGGTCAGTGAGCGCCTCACATTGGTTCTTGATTCATTAAAACAGGACTTCATCATCTGCATAGAGATGTTCCTGGCTGCCATCGCCCACCACTACACCTTCACCTACAAGCCCTATGTACAGGTAACACACTCCATCCATCCGTCAGTCAGTCAGTCAGTCAGTCAGTCAGTCAGTCAGTCAGTCAGTCAATCAATCAATAATCTGTCACACAGTGTTTTAATATAGTTCTTGTTTCCGTCCAATCAGGAGGCAGAGGAGGGATCGTGTTTCGACAGTTTCCTGGCGATGTGGGATTTCTCTGACATCAGAGCTGATGTCACAGAGCAGGTCCGCCATGTTGGTGAGTGTCAGATCATTCGTGAGCAGTTAGAGAACATCCAGCCTGCTAACTCTGACCTCCAGCAGCAGCTTCTGTCTGGTGTTGCTTCACTGAGGTTCATGTTTCTCTGCAACATAGTCCTGCAGATCTATGGAACCAGAACATGAAGGAGGAGAGAGAACTCAGAGGTTTCTCAGATGTTAAACCCTGGAGCTCATGTAGTCTCCTCATCCTGCAGATGTTGAACTATCTCCATTTCTTCAGACTTTTCCTCTCTGCTCTGCTCATCAGCCGTAGAAAGATGTTCCACCATCAGATGTAGAAAGATGTTCCACCATCAGCTGTAGAAAGATGTTCCTCCATCAGATGAATGTATCTCCACCAACTGGCTCCTCTGTTCTCTGGTTCTGATCCATGCTGCATTTATTCATTGATCCAGTAATAAACGGCCACCAGCAGGTTTTGGGGTTCAGAGGAGTAACTCCGTCCATACCAGTAACATTCTGTAACTTCTTATCTCCTGTTGATGTGGTTCAGCTCGTTCCACTCTAAGTCGTGTTTGGGCTCAACAACCCAAACTAGTGAACCAGAAGCTTCAGGCTCTGAGAGTTCAGACAGCTGATGGACCTCTGTCCTCCAACACCACACTGGGCCGGTGGAGCTACCAGCTGCTGTTTACGGTTATTTCAGGTGAACCGCTGTGGTTCTGAATTGTTGTGAGTCCTGCTGTAGATGACCTTCTGACCTCCTTTTCAGGTCGGACCTTCCTCGGTCGGCCCAACAAGATGTACTTTGGCGCCGCAGCTCGACCCGAACACACCGAACACACCGGCCTCCTCACTGCCTCCTCCCAGGACCCCGTCACCGCAGCGACCACCTCCATGCCTTCGTCCCCCTCCTCCAGTGGGCGGTACCAGGGCTTAGGCCACACCCCCACACCCCACTCCATCTCCGCCCCTGCCGGCTTCACATCTCCGTCCTGGGAGGATGACGGCGAGGCCCCGCCCCCGCAGCCGGCCGGCCAATGAGACACTCCAATGACAGAACCAGAACTTGCGCCTCCAGGAGTGAAGCCCAGGAGAGACTGTGGACGGGTCGGACAGACCCAGACGTCTGAAACGTGTATTTTGATGTCAGATGTACTTTTGATAAACGTCTCTTTGTTCCGACTCAATAAAACAAGTCCTTTGATCAGCGTGGTTCCTCCTCAGAGCTCAGCTCAGGAAGCAGAACCTGGTGTGTCCGTTTACTGCAGGTCTGCATCTGCTGCTGTTCACTCTGTGTTCAGTCAGTTCTAATGTGTGTGTTTGTGGTCATGTCACCCGGTTCTGGTCAGCTCGCATCCCTTCTTCTATCGGTCTGGGTCTTCTGTGGACATTTTCTGTTTCTTTGATCTCGTTTTGTCTCCATTTGTGTTGGTTTTGCTCGTTTGTGTTCATTTGGACTCTTGTAGTCGGTTCTGATCCGTTTCCCGTCATATCTGAGAGCCTTTGTTGTCGTTTTACATCGACTGAGTTCCTCTGCAGCCGTCCTGAACCCCGCTTTGTTGTTGTTGTGTCTCTTTTTGCATGGTTGTGCTCCTCCTGCGGATCTTTTTGTGTTTCTGTTTGGTTCTGGTCATTTCTGTGGCTTCACAGTAACTTTGCATTCATTTGTGTTCATTTTTCTTCTCTTCTTTGTGGGTCGAGGCCGTCCTCTGGTGCTGTGCATCAGTGTGCAGAGTGTAATCTTTGTCCGCTGTAGTTGTGTTGAGCAGACCTACAGCAACACAACGTGACGACAAACCGTCCTGACAGGAACAACCTTTGATCATCTGAGAACTAAACCCACCTTTATTTTATCTGCACTCACTGCAACACCAGTGTGTGTCTGTTCACGTTGTGTAGTTCTATACCGACTGTGTGTGTCTGCAGCACCGTGTTGTGTGTCTGTTGTTGTGTGTCTGCCTCGCCGGGTGGTGGAGGCGGCGCTCCGTCCTCCTGCTGTCCAGCTGTCACCTCCATCACAGACGAGCGTCTTCATCCGGCAACACAAAGAAACTCTGCAGGAGACACGTGGAGCTTCAGAGAACAGCCGCGTTAACGAGGTGTCCCTGAACGCATCACCTTCATTACCTGATTAAAGTTGTATGAGCTCATGTTTTAATGATAGAGCACTTTAGTCCAGCTGGTGCTGATTCTAAACGTGCTGTGAATCAGTTTGACTGTTAAACAGTCGAACCAGAACCACGTCGTTCTTTCAG